ATCCCTCGGCCACTCTCCCTTCCCAGAGCTGGGAACAGAACCCAGGAGTCCTGGCCCCCAGTCCCATGCTGTGATCCCTCGGCCACTCTCCCTTCCCAGAGCTGGGAACAGAACCCAGGAGTTCTGCTCCCAGTACCACCCTATTGCTCACCTATCCACACTACCTTCCCATGCTAAGATCGTTATAGTTCCCATAGCTGGGAACCGGAGTCCTGGCTCCCAGTTCAGTGCTGTGATTACTCATCCACGCCACTGTCCAAGAGCTAGAAGTAGAACTCAGGCATCCTGACTCCGAGGCTGCACTCTGCTCTAACCATTTGGCCACACAACCCTCCCTCATATAACATTTCCTTCTGACACCAAGCCTCTCTCCCTCTGGGTTCCGTTGGCTGATCAGTCACCTGGATGTCGCCGTTGGCTCAGGGTGTATCACTCCTGTCACAGTCAATTAGATTGTGTAGACCCAGCACGTATGTGAAGGTCGTTTGGAGGAGGCCTCCTCCGAGCTGAAAAAGACTATTTGCTGAGCTATCTCCTCCTGCCTTTCAGTCCTTTGTTTCCATAGCAAATTTCTTATCAACATTTCTGTTCCATTAGGCCCCCCCCCATTAGGCATCTCTCCTGAAGCATCTCGTAAGGATTCTTTAGCTCCTACAGTGCTGCCCACATGACAGACATTGTTATGGCTCTTAATTTTGAAATGAATGTAGTGCCCGACTGGCAGCCCTAGAGGTGGATCTGCAGAGCAGATACAGCGGTAGGAAAGAACAAGGCAAGCTTTCCCCACAGCCCACCCTGCCCTGGAGGGATCATCGCAGGGGATACTATGTGTTTAGTCTCCATGGCTCATTCAGTCCTTGGCGGGCATGCCTGCCTGCCCAGATTGCCAACAAGGGGGCTGGCTGTGATGGCGGTTTTGATATAGCCTTAGCCTCAAACCCACCAGATTCATTTCAGGCATGAATTGGTAACAGCTTTTAGTCTCCACTGATCTAGGCCAATTCAAACAGGTGACTCGAGAGGTGAAAATCGTTGCATCCAATCAGCAAATCTCCTGTGCTTGCCTGTCTCACCTGATAAGAACTTTAATAACATAAATGCTTTTTCCCATATCCTTCTAGTATTTTAAGTTGCCGGCAAGATGACTCAGGCAGAAATTAAACTCTGTTCCCTCCTGCTGCAAGAACATTTTGGCGAGATTGTGGAAAAGATAGGGACTCATCTTATCAAGACAGGCAGCCAGCCGCTGAGAGTGATTGCCAACGACACAGGGATGTCGCTAGATCAGGTATGTCTGGAATACTCGAAGAGTTAGTCTCCTTTGGATCACAGAGCTGACTGAACTATTATTCGCTCATTACAACTTGTCAGTCACCATTTCTGGCGCTTTTGAAGGATTCTGTTATTCTAAATGTGTTTGCAAAAGGTAAATCAGAATTTGAACACGTCTCCTTAAAACCAAATCAGTTTCTTTAATAGTACAGATTGCAATCCATGGGAGTTTTGCCATTGGCTTTAACAGAAAAGGTTCTGAGCTCTTACCTCTCCACAGAAGGGCAAAGGGAAGGAGGGTGGTCTAATTTAGTTTTATAGAGGGTGAAGAGGACAAGAGATGGGGTTCTCTGAAGTTAGTGCAGCATCTGGAGAATAAGGAGGTGAGACTTACTGGCCCAAAGGGTACGTCTTCACTACCCGCCGGATCGGCGGGTAGCAATCGATCTATTGGGGATCGATTTATCGCGTCTCGTCTACACGCGATAAATCGATCCCCGAACGCGCTCCCCGTTGACTCCGGACCTTCACCAGAGCGAGAGACAGAAGCGGAGTCGACAGGGGAGCCGCAGCCATCGATCCCGTGCCGTGAGGACAGGAGGTAAATCGATGTAAGATACGTCGACTTCAGCTACGCTATTCACGTAGCTGAAGTTGCGTATCTTAGATCGATCCCACCCACCCACCCACCCCCAGTGTAGACCAGCCCAAAGTCACACAGTGAGTCAGGACTACAGTCGAGATTCTCAGGCCCTGCCTCGAGTAGGAGGAGATCTTGTAGGTTTTTCCATCTCTTAGTTCTATGGTAGCCTGAGGCCCCTGGGGAATTTCAAACATCGCCCTTCCCTCTCTCACGATAAAGATGATCTGGTGAATGGCTCAGTAGCTTTATCTTAGGTTGTTAATGATCAGTGCTAATTGAGGAACCATTCCTGAGACTATGGATGGAGATAAAGCACCTAAGCGGAGGGGCATTCCCTTCCTGATCCCTGAGGTGATCAGCCCTGAAGCATGATGGTTGTTTCCCCCCATATAAACTATGCTAAGTTTCCAAGTATGTGGCTCATTCCTTTCTCTGGCATGTGCAGGTTAAGAAAGCTCTCTGTGTCCTCATTCAACACAACCTGGTGACCTACCAGCTGCAGAAGCGAGGCTTTGTGGAGTACGAAGCTCCGTGCAGTCGGGTGCTGAGGATCCTCCGGTATCCACGGTACATCTACACCGCCAAGACCCTCTACAGCGACATGGGCGAGCTGATCGTGGAGGAGCTGCTGCTGAATGGCAAAATGACCATGAGTGCTGTGGTGCGGAAGGTGGCGAACAGGCTGACGGAAACTATGGAGGGTGAGCCAAAGCGGTGTGGAGACAGCTGAGAAATAGAGCGGAAACCTTTTGCTGCAGCATCTTATCATCTGTCTGGCACGGTTTGGGGCTGCTGGGCCGATACTTCATGCTACCAGAGTGGCTGGGTCCTGTACGCAGTGAAAGGGGATGGGATGGCTCCCAGGATCTGTGCAGAAGAAGAGGGCTCTGGACATAGAGCCTGATCCAAAGTCCATTGAAGTAAATGGGAATCGTTCCATTGACTTCAGTGGGCTTTAGGTCAAGTCCATATGGAGCATCTTCTAGGGGCTGTACAGAACACTGACACTCCCAAGCACCTCCAGGAGAGAGGTCAGTCTCATCATCCACATTGTATGGATGGGGAAACTGAGGCACGGAGAGAGGAGGGGACTGCCCAAGATCAAACAGTGAGTCACTATCAGAGCTGGGAACAGAACTGGCTCCTGTGCTTGGACCATTTGACTATGATTTATTTCGATGTCTCTTTTACCCTATCTTTCTATCAGTAGACAAGTGTAGAGTCAGCGTGGTAGGAAACCTGGGAATCCATTCTCTGCTCTACCACTGGCTCACTGTATGACCTGGAGGGAGTCACTGCCCCTCATTGTGCCTCAGTTTCCCCATCTGTAAAATGGGAGTAACAACACTTACCCAAATGACAAGTGCTATGTGGATTCCAAAGAGTGAAAGTTCTGGTTTCCTGCATATTTCTCATCTCAAGGCTGAATTTTACACACATGGACTAAAATGGAAAACACATGTATTAGTCATTGAATCTGTTTTTCCCTTACCTCTGTGTCTGTCCCTCCAACAGACCTAAGTTTGCTCTGCTCATTTAACTATTCCCATTGATTCGTAGCCTACAAAGAGGTGGAAATCTTCATGTTTCCACTGCACCTTTCTCTTAAGAGAAATGTGGGAGGCCTTAAATATCTGGGAAGAAAGATATTCCCAGATTCCCTCGGGGGGGGGGATAGCTCAGTGGTTTGAGCACTGGCCTGCTAAACCCAGGGTTGTGAGTTCAATCCTTGAGGGGGCCATTTAGGGATCTGGGGCAAAAATCCGTCTGTGGATTGGTCTAGATGGGGTTGGACTAGATGACCACCTGAGGTCCCTTCCAACCCTGATATTCTATGAAAGGGAAAAACCTCAACTGGCCAACAAGAGTCATAGTTGTTCACATATTAGCGGCTCCACTTGATTAAAAGACACCAATGCTATATAATCCAATGGGGCTTTATAGCCTCTGGGGCACAAGCTGTGTCCTCAACAAACGTTGAGAGCAGCGTGAGACAGTATGGTCCAGTGACTACAGCACTCCACGGAGAGTCAGGTTTTATTCCTGATTCTGCCATTGACCTGCTGGGTGACCTTGGGCAAATTAGTGCCCCACTCTGTGCCTCAGTTTCCTTTCCTGCCTTTTATCTGTCTTGTCTATTTAGATTGTAAGCTCCTCAGGGCAGAGATTCTCACTACATACAGTGCCTAGTGCAACGGGGCCCTGATCTCAGGTGCTGCTGGAATATAAATGACGATAATGAGAGAAGTTAAGAGGCATCAGAGACAAACTGCATTATCCGGTGAGATTTGAAATGAGATGGAGATTCAGGAATTTGCTAAGAGCTGCCAGAAAGACTCTCCTGTGGACGGTGGCAAAGAGAGGGGCTGAGAGAGGCCCCTGCTCGAGGTGGGGAGTGGAGCAGAAATATACAGGA